GTTGCTGTTTATCAGTTTGCGCTGAAAAAACTTTTTTAATCATTTTAATTTTTGATACATTTTTGGTATTGAACACAAATTCATTATTCATATTTGTCTATTTTCGTATGTTATAATTTTGAAAAAAAAAATAACGCCAAAGACGAAAAAATGACGATTTTAATAGTTTTCATAACGTTCATAGAAAAGCATCGGGAACAAATTTTTTATATATATATCAATTGACAGACTAGTATCATACATATAAAAAAAATTATAGTATAATAGTCGTTAAAATATAAATACCTATGTATGATCTGCGAATCTTAAAAGAAACATAGATTCGAAAGGTCTCATATAATTTACCGATGTGGGTATATATCTTATATACTTGTAAATAATATAATGGAGGAATGAATAAGAAAGAGGTTGGCAGAAAAGAACTCCACCCTTAATTTGGTCAATATTTTATTTATTCCTTCATTTTAGTTTAAACAATTTGTTCATTCGGGGGAGTGACCCCGTAAAATGAATATGATATAGTAAATATGTTCCTTTTTACAATTTATACCATATACACAATAATAATAATAATAATAATTAATAATAAGAATCTTAAACATAATATAGAATAATCAAAATAATTAATAATAATTAGAATATAATAGTAATAATGCTAAATCTAAGGCGCAAAACATAAACAAAAATATAGGGTACACGTTAGTAAAACCGTCCCCATTAAACGACGGCATTTATGCTATGTATGTACGCATTTACAGACCACTCATCAACTGCTTAATACGTCATTTCATGACAACATCCTCGTCACATTTTAATTTATTATTTTTAGTAAAGGCTTTCTCTCTCTCTCTCTCTCTCTCTCTCTCTCTCGTTCTTTCGCTTCCACTCTCTCAATCCGTTTAAGCTGAGATTACTATAAAATAGGTAAAAAAGCCCTGTTTCACAAAATATCTCGCAAATATATAGATATATATATGTATATGTATATATTGTCACGGGTCTCTCTTCCCACGTTTTATCTCCCCTGTCGCCGTTGTCTCACGTGATACGTTTTATTATTATTTTGTCTTCCTCTCTTCGCATATGGTGTAAGAGTCAAAGGCTGCGCTGATTCGTTAAGAAAATAAGCGTTTTTCGCAACACGTTTTCGCGGAGCGAAAAGAAAAATGAAATGCGTGCAAAGTGACAAAAAATATTAGCTGATCAGACGCATACGGAGCAAAATTAAAATGGAATCAAGGAATAGTCCTCGACTCGCGTTACGATCGACCGAAAATAAATTGGTGAGATTTCTCGAAAGGAAATTGAAAAAAAAAAGAGTACGTTGACAAGGAACGACTCATCTCGACACGCGATCGTTCTTTCTCTTTTTTTTATGACAATTCGCACGGAATTTCTTTTTGGCAACGTGAGTAATAAAGGGGGATGGAATAGTGTAACTATTAAAGTTCTGCGTTTATATTGATTACTTGGTGTACAAGGTGAGGCATCTGGAACGTTTACAAGATACATTCGTCGAAGGAGTATTACAAGTCACTTCGTGCGTTCGCTATGTGTAAATTTTGTACTTCCTTCCCTCCGCTACAATGTCGAAATTGTTATTTGTGTATGTGTGTGTACCAACGACGAAATAAATAATTCGCAATTAACGAGGAAGTTGTATTGCTACGATGAACAATGCGCACGGCCGAAAGCGTTAATCATTGTTCACAATATATCATTAAAATAGTTAAAAAGATTCGCATGAAATGTGATAGATTTTTCATTATTTACATAATTAACGCAATATATTTTTTGTATGATCCCAAATTTGAGCATAGTAAAGTTCGATCGCAGTGGCGTTAAAATAAATCAAACTATTAGCTTTGATCAAACTAAATGTCAAACTAAAGCTTTTCTACTTTAACGATAATGACAAGTAATGACAAGTTTTTAACATTTACGTCCAATATAATTTTGTAGAAAAACGTGAATTTTTTTTAGTCCCACGATATTAAATTTTTAGTATAAATCGTTATATTTTATTGTAAATCACGCATTGCTTTCGCGTGACATTTTAACGCTTTCTGCTGATCGATCTCTATTATATAAAAAGATCGACAGAAAGAAAATAGAAGAGAGATTCTTTTAGTTTGATGGTTCACATGCGAGTCTATCCCTTCAGTCGCTCTACTTGAGTCACTTTGCTCAACAAGAATAAATATCAAAGCTTCTTTATAATAATTAAAAGATTTCTAATAATTTTTTCGGATAATCTGAGTGATGGTGACTCGGCCGAGCACATTTGTATGCGTGCGTGTTTTCATGCGATTAACATGTCTCCCGAAAATTATGCATATGCGTGTCAGCCTCCGCGCCAATAAATACAATAATTAATTAACGATTAAAATAAATACAAAGCAAAAATAGGTAATTATATCTCATTAAGCGATATAATTTGGTCTCTCCTTGGTGCGGTTTACTTATTCACGTATCCTCCGACTCCTCTCCCCCTCGCTTCAATTCTCTAATGAATTCTGCCTGCTTCTTTTCGCTACCATCTACCCTTCCGACTATCTTCCGCCTGTCAGTCTACTTGTCATTAAACGACTCGTTGAGTACGTCCAATAAACGTGTAATTAGTCAATATGACGTGTTCGTATGTATTATGTACGTATTGACCAAAAATATTAGACACCTAATTTTTATTTATCTGCAATTCTTTTACCTGTATTGTTATCTATTAATTACTGGCATTGTACATAAATTTAAAAGTTTTTGAAACAAAAATAATTTACAGCAAATGCCATAAATCAATTTTTGAACTAAAACTTTAAATAACTAAACTTTAAATAATGATTAATAAAATATCTAATATTTTTTACTAAGACTTTTAGAGCTAATTGTCATTCCGAAGAGTAAAATCTAACTTTTAAAGATTGAAAATTAAATTATTCTTTTCCAAGACTAGTTCAATTTTCAATCTTTAAAGTGAGATTTTACTCCAAAAAATTTAAAGAGTTGATTATCTATATATATATAGTGTATATCACATGGTTGTAATTCCAATTAGAAACGGATCCGTCTGTCGTGTAAATTGCTTGGTCAGCTCGACGAAACCCCGCATGGCACAAAGAAAGGGTAGATTTCTTTAAAGTTTGTTCTACAATAGGGTCGCAAAGTCATAAGCCATAAGAAATTAATCAATCATAATCGATTATTGTCATATTCAACTGTGGTTGGCCAATTTTTTACTTACAATTTACAACTCTATTGTAAAATAGGCTTAAGCAATGTCACAAATGTCGCAACAAATATAAAAAATGATAATAAAGAAATCGACTTCCGTTCGTTTCATTAGCGATCGAGCTGTGTGACACGCATTGGAAGTTTACGGCAAGCGGATAGATGATATCTCATAAAGGGGGATGGAGAGTGGAGGAGATCTCTTTTCGTTTTTATCCTTGTCGTTGTACGCGAAGTCCATGCAGTATACGTGTTGTGTCACGTCATCGTTATGAACGCATAGTCAACGCAATTAGTTGGATTACTTGTGTATTGCTCGGTACAACAACATATGATTGCTTCGCCAATTTTAGAATCCGCCGCCGTTAAATCGCCCTGTCCACTCGCCCGCCCGTCTTTGTTTACATTATTCGAAATAGAATCGCATCTTCGAAGCCACTCTTATCTTTTACATGATTTCAGACTTTTCGGATAAGGCTAAACGATCTAAAATTTATCACGAACATGAGAGAATAGAAGATATATAATTTTAATAATTGTTGTAAAAGAAAAAAAAAATATATATATATATATATTGTATATATACAATATAAATAATACGTAATTATAATATCAATTATAATATGTAATACAATTAAGTATTAATAATTAAATTTTTAGATGAGCTAAACGTAATAAATTCAGTGATGAATTAAATTTATTGTATTATTAACTTTTATATCATATTAATAATTTATTAAATTTAATTAATTTGGTGATTTAATAATTAATTATAAATAAATAATTGTATTATATAATTAACATAAAATTGTATATAATTTTTCAACTAATCTACATTTATAGTAGTTCATCTGATCGAAAGCTTTATAAACAGCAGGGTTGGTAAACAATAGTCGACACAAACTAAAAATAACATAGCATCAATGCTATAATTTTGTACTCCACAATATAAATGTAATATAACTCATGGTATTATATAACAGTTACAGTGTGGAGTATAAAATTATAACATTGACGTTATGTTATCTTTAGTTTGTGTCGAAGGACATATCTAAGTATATTTCTTTTAATAGTATTTAAAATATATTCAAAATATTAAAAATATATTTAAAAAGACAATGCAATGTTATGTTTTTAAAAAAATATTTTTTGTCCAATCCTGATAGACAAGGATATCTTAAATCGAGCCTTTTTATGTTGTGAAAAAACATGATCAAAGGAACTCATTTTTTATTACAATATTATCGGAGAAATTCAATGATGAAAATATGCGAAGAATAATGTAAATTTGCTTTAAAAACATCGATGTGGCTGTGCGAAGATGCGAACTTGCATAACGCATAACATTTTATTTTCTTTTGGCACAATCACGACGGATGGAGCAGTACAGTCTAACGGCGATAAAAACCCGTTTCATATTCAGAAAAATTGGATAGTACACAATACGTCCCGTACGAATATAGGAAAATAATTATCGCGTATAATCATCAGTAATAATTATTAATAATGTAATAATATGTAATCATAATTAAAATTGCGTGTATGTATACTTCTCGTCTCCTTATATATTTATATGTGTATGTATATGTATGTACACGCAATGTGTGTTGTATGTATATGTGTGTATATATATATATATATATATATATATGTATACATACACATATACATATGTACACACATATATACACATGTATAAATATTTTACAAGTACAAAGTGGTGTATGGTAGGGGCGTGAGAGTGTGAGGAGGGGTAGAGGCTAAGAAGACCAAAATCAAACGGCGCAATCAAACTTTCTATTAAGGTCTTTTACAGATACGAGGGCGATATCTATCGCACGACCATGTCTGTCCGATTGAAACCCCCACAGCTTCGCAATGAGTAGGAATAATGTACATTCTATGTGCGCGACGCGCAATGTTTCCGCATTCCACTCTTCACGCATCACTTCGTCTTATACGCTCTCACTCGTTAAAATATCTCAAAGAAAGAATAACGATATAATATTATTCATAATATAATAACCATTACATAGTAAATAGTAACATCGTTACTGTTACTATTATTATTAATTATACCATCTATATCTAGCATTATTATTTTTACTGAATTGTTGTCTATCGCCAATAATATCGTCAATGTTAACAATAACAGTAACGATGAGTTTAATAATAGTTTATAATAGAATTGTAGCAAAAAATATCGCGCGACGCAATTTCATGATGCAACTACATTGATCGATACAGAAAAAAGGGGGAGAAGGGATCAAAAGAAAAAAAGCAAAAAGGACCTACAAAAGAACTAAAAAGAGGCGAATGTTTTCTGATCTAAATTCGCTGCTGCTTTACGCGGCACCCTTACGGAGTGACAGCACCTTTTACTTATCTTTGGAAGTCATACAGGAACATACATCAGCCCGAAATTATCAAAAAGAACATTATAAAAAGAAAAATCTACCTAAGAACCGATAATTATTTACATAAACCGACAATCTCTTTTTCCACTCGTCCTCTGCATGCAATCGTAACAAATATTCTATTATTTTCATTTCCTCGATAAATCACATCGAACTTGCGATTTGATATCTCGAATTTGCATTTCGTTCATTTTTTTCGGACGGACGGTCTGGCGGGAAAATAGGCCTGATATATGTATCTGCTATAAATATGTGTCTCGAAAATATTCTCGAAGCTCCTTAATAGACTTCTTTTCCTTTTTTAAAATTTTATTTTTTTTTTCTTTTAGTCTCTTCTCTTTATCCTTTACCACACTCGTGAAATATAAAATTGTATCCCGTGAACCATTGGACCGCGCTTAATAACTATGGGCCGTCGTCATCCCGCCAATCCGCCTGCGTTTTTCTTTTATATTCATCTTTTCTGGCATTGCCAACAGAATGTCAGCAATGGGATAATACGATTTTATTGTAACAGTTATACAAATAATAATTGGTCCTACGGTCTCAGAATATGCCCGTCGGTCACATCCTCTGATTGGGCGATGTTAATCACTTAGAAGAATTAAATTTAGGATATGTATTAAACTATGGGATTGTATTGATCTCAGATTTGATAAGAATCCCTTCGATTTGTGGGTTCAAACTTCTAATTCACTAATTCGTTTCGTCAAATTTCACGTTTTATCGAGAAAATGAAACTCTGAAGTGCCATTCACGTTATTTCCTGCTGCTAAATCGCAATCTACTCGAGCCTTCCTCGATCGAATGCGGGAGAAGAGATGCGTTTAAAAAGTGAGGTGAATCAAATCACCGGTAAATTTGGGAACAACGAAGCTACCGCGACGCACGTTTATAATTTTCTTCGATAAGATTTTCCGATCGAGAAGCGATCGTAAAAACGGAAAACAGATCAGAAAATCTGAGAGAGCAATGTAAATGCCGTTCTCAAAGGAAAAAAAAAGCGCGGAGAGCATGTTTCTCTTTCGAAACTAAATTCAACGGACATTTCGTCGTGTGTCGATTCGTTATGTATTCTCATATCTCTTTTTTTCCCTATTTGTAATCTCTTATCCGATTCTCGACAAGATCTGTGGTAGCAAAAATTGGGGCGGGCCGATCTACCGCAAACTCAACAACGGTAGGTCGCCCTCAAGACGGCGGCACTCACAAATATCTATTTACAAAAATATACACATGAGCAACTTGCTTATCCGCTTGCGCCTGTTCTTCTCATTATTTTTCCATTAGCATCTCATGTCATGCGCGCAAGAGGGACATTCACCTCTTCGGTATCCAGGCAAAATTTATTTGCGAGTAGTAATCTCGAATATTATATTTGTCACTTATTATTCGCAAATATATTTTGCCATTATTCACCTCCTAATTTTTAACGTGCGTTTACCTCGCTTTGTTCTTCCCTCGCTTGCGTTTCATTAAATTATGCTATTGGTATATGTGTGTATGCGGTATACTATTATTTTTTTCTCCTTTACTTTTCAATCGCACTAGATCGCACCTCTACTTATTTTCCCGATTAACTCTAGGTAATGTAAATAATATGTATTGGTAGTCGCATCTGTTACTGCTTTTCCTGTTTGCATATTAATTACTCTAATCTAAATTACTTCCCCCATCTATCTACAAAAAAGAGTCGTGTGCTTCGCACGCAAACGTTAAAACTATAGTTTAACTATAGCATATCGCTTGATCCTGGTTGTTGATCCTGTTGCTCGCGTATCCCTCCATCGAAGTCACTCTAATCCTGCTCCTCTATCTCCCTTTCTTTTTCATGTTATCACGATATCTCCTCACATTCGCGAATACAACTGTCATCTGTTCCCCTATACTGAAACGCGGCGCCGGTGCGCGAGATGCTTTATCTCTTTTCGCGTCATTAAATATATTCTTATCTTTATAACTATTTATATATATTTATATAGGTAATAAACTATATATATTAAATAGGTATATCCCTTATATTCATCGCACTTGAATCGCCGAAACGATACTCATGCTTCAGGTAACGTCGGCTGCGGGCGCACCGTGAAGCGAGAACACACGGGCGCTTATACGTGGCACTTCTTTCTACCCCATCAGTGGTTTTACTTCTCTTTTCTCGTATTCGGTTTTTCTTCCTTATCCCCCCTTCTCCCCTCCCTTCCCCTCCCCCCAGTCTCGTGTCGATATCTATGCGTTAACTTACAAAAGCGGACACCTCGGAAAAAATAGACACGAGTTATCACTGCGGCTTGCTAGAAATCTAATGCACTCGCGAGTGTCTCGATATCATCTCCGCCCAACGATTCTTCATTACGCCTCGAGAGTAAGTAACACGTGCTCTAACAAAGTGCACGAGGTTCGTTTATGCACCGTGTTAAGATAAAACGACTTCTCTCTCGATCGGTCGCTTTTCCACTCGCCCCCTCAGGCACGCGCTTTGCAATTGACTATAAACTTGCTGCTAAATTTATATCAAGAATGCCCCTACGTCGTCCGACTAAAGGAGAATCTCACGAGTTGCTCTCGTTTTCTCTCCTTTTTCTAGATTGCTGTGACCCCCGTTATCGATTCGGTTGCACCCCCCTCCCTCTCCTCAGAGATCACTTCTCACAAAGAAAATAGTCCATGATTTCGCTGTATCATCATTATCGCACCTTCCCATTTTCCATACATCGCCGGCTGTTGATGGACAAGTCACAGTGACCGACGTAACGACGCTACGCAACTACGTGTACATGGTCGGGTAAGTGACCATATTTTGTGGAAGGGAGGTAACGTAGTTTGGAGTGGGTGGTCGGGGGCTATGCCACTGTGGTCAGAGAGCTCGCAATTTCTTTATACCCGCTTGAACGTAACGCACAAGCTCACGTAGCGAGCTATACGATGTCAAGGGTCCCAATCTTCGATCCAAGTCGATGAAAAAGCCTGATAACGCAAGAAAAACAAATCGATCATTATAAATCGAAACGAGATTCATCTGATGTGCTTTATTTTCCAATACGTACTTCTATTCTCTTCCTGTCTCGCCTGCTTTATTGCCTGGTCCCATAGGTCGTGGCCATTCATAAGTAAGCCTGAACACTGATTTTGCTTTATCATCGCATTAAAGACTTGCAATGGCACGCTAATATGGCTATTGACCGGTGGTTGTTGTACCAGTGGTTGTTGTACCAGTGGTTGTTGTATCGGTGGTTGTTGTACCGGTGGTTGTTGTACCGGTGGTTGTTGTGCCGGTTGTTGTTGTTGTTGTTGTTGTTGTTGTTGTTGTTGTTGTTGTTGTTGTTGTGCCGGGTGTTGTCCACCGCTGCTATATCCGGAGGAACTTTGACTACCGACGGAACCTACAGAACCAGCGGGCGATGGTGTTGGTGAAAGAGAAGGCGTGCCCTGTCCTTCCGCCTGAGCTGGTGTTGTCTGAGCTGCTGATTGCTGAGATTGCTGAAATACATTTTTCAAGAATTAGGACTCACACGCCGATTTATATCTAGGATAGTTATAAATCGTAATAAAATGAAGATTGTAATATGTTTGAAATAATTATCACAGTGAACAACATAATTATGATCCAATAATCACTCACCTTTTGATTGAAGTCATTAACGATCTTCTGGACTTCTTTCATTTCCTGTTTACGCATGTTATATAGTTTGGAGTACAAACGTGATTGACACCAAAGGCTAGAAAGACAAATTATAATTTTGAAACGCATTCGTCCGTTTGTGCAATATTGTTTGTACGATTGAAAGAAGAGAAGGTGCACTCACCTCAAGATAGCCAGCTTAGTGTGTATGCTATTCTCAGGTGAGTTGTTCGGTTGGCTCTTAAATTTCGACGAGATGTATCTGTAAAACAAAGGAAAAAACGTTTTAATTAGCTCTCTTCTCTCTTTACCGCACGTGTACGCGTCTTAATTAAAAATGTACTCACTTGATGAGACTAAGAGTATCTTTGTACATAGTATACGATGCTTTTTCTGTAACTGAGTCTGATTCCATCGCATCGCCTGTTAGAAGAAAATACAGAGCAGCCTCTAGATACATCATGCCTTGTGCCGTAAGATCGCTCTCCTCATCGGCATTATGCTTTAGTCGCTTAGCTTCGGTCAGGTACTGGTCATGGTCCCTAAAATACAAATATAAATATATGCTGTTATATTAAAAAACTAATTATATGTGTGTGTGTGTGTGTGTGTGTGTGTGTGTGTGTGTGTGTGTGTGTATATATATATAAAATTAACTACGTATGTATTTATATAAGGTTAAAGAAAGTCTTTTTAAAAGTTGATAAAAAGATCTTTCTCTATCAATATCTTTGTTAAAATAAACATTTAAATTTTAAAAAAGGGTTTTAAAGCTTGAAATCTCGACTTTCGAAGGGTTCTTATATTTTTTGAATTTATGTAAATTTTGTAATTTTTACATATAGAAATTACGCTGAAAAAAATGAAAAATTTTCTTTTCACTTTGTAAGTCTCTAATGTACTCAAAAAGAATTTTCGACTATCTATCATGAAAGCTTAAAGCTTTTCTTACAAAATCGTTTTTTAAAAATGTTCCTATGATTTTTGTTCCTAAGTTAGTAACTAGCGGATTAAGTAAAAAGGAACATTCTGACTTTATTGCTCGTAACTCTATTAAAAATCTTCGTGTCGCAATTAAAAATACAGATTCTTAAAGCTGAGACGTTGCTCTATCAAATAATTACCATTTTTCTTTTTAAATAAAATATATAGGTTGCTAAAAGAGCTTTTTTACCAACTTATAAACTTTTTCACTTTTTCACAAACCCAATATACATAGTTTGTCTAAAAAAGTTTATGAAAATACTTAAGGATATCATACTATTCAAGTTTAATTTTTATTTATTATGATAGAACGAGATTTAATCAACATTTTACCTTAAATATAAAACTTACCTATCCTGATCTTCTAATATTTCATTTTGAGGATCGAAGTAAGAATAGTAGACGCGCTGAGCTGGGAGAGGCGGTGGCGGTAATAAACTAGTATCTGGTTTCTCGTCCCTTTCGTGATTCGTCGGTTGGATATCACTTTGCTGTACAATAATGTTAAAATGTACATAAATTATTCTATCTATTTAATCTATCTATCTATTAATTTATTCATTTACTATATAATTATATCGTTTGAGTTAATATGATAAAAAGCTCTAAAAGATAAAAAAAATTTTTAATAAAATATTAGTAAGAAAACATTATATTTGAATTGAATAAACCCGAACAGATCAGAAGAATTATTATATAAAATATATTAAAAACTAAATTGTCTAAAATAAAATTGTATAACTATTCATTTAAAAATATAATTATTATTTTCAAGAAAATTAGCATTGATATATTAGAATGCTTTCATAATATTATACATATATTTTTTTAAATATAAGATCCTTTTTGGAAAAATTTATTTTTTATTTTTAGAGCTTTTTAATCATATTAATCTAATACAACCCCGAGTTTTCACAAGCCAGAGTTTCACGGACAAGTTTTTCACTTTTTCCATACCTGACTGGACATTAGCCCGTCGTTGGCATGCCTTCGTTGTCTCTTGCGGCTTTT